AAAAATTATTGGTATTAAGTGGAATCTAAAATTATCTTCATAAACAAAGTTTTCACAGATTTGAGGCGAAAATTCCAAAATGTTTTATGAGGTATAGGGAAGAGTGATTTATAAAATTTAAAATTAAATCAGTCATTTGGTAAATATAACAATACGTGATTCTCACAGTATAACGATCATTTTGAAAAAAATAGCTCTGAGAATATAAAACCAAATATACATAGATGGCAAATCAGAATAAAATTGAAATGGTTAATTAATGGTTGCCGATGTTGAGTAAAAATATTGGGAAAATACAGCGAAGTACATTGAGAGCCAAAATTGTAAATTTGTAAATTAGAATACATGACAGTTTTAAAAATACTGACTGCAGCAAAAAAAAAAGTTCAAACTACTGAGAACTTTGAGCAGAGACATGCAAAAAAAAAATGTGTAAACAAATATTTTAGAGGACTAATATTTTAGAGACGAAATAACTGGTTGCTGAAAATTTGGAGCCAAAACAGGAATTTTAAAAAAGATGCCAAACTAAAACCCAACCCTTCCCGAACATTGAAACAATACAAACAGAAATACACAAACATAATGTTATAAAACATTTTAAAATCCCCCTCCCCCCTTTTTTTAATTTAAAGGTTCGGTCGCGACGGCATATGAGAGATGGTACTTAGTCTTCCTGAGGTGCAGACGTCTTGACTGCCGCCTCAACTTCACCCCAAGCAGGTGCAGATATAACTGTTAATTAAAGAGAAAAAAGACAATAAAAATATTTGATATTGATTGCTTGAAGCATTGTGTGTGTGATTGACAGAATCTTAGGGTCTACTGGAAAGACATTTGAATAAGAGGAATTAGTTTGTACAAAAAATAATTTCTCTGTCAGTGCATGTTTATAAAATAACCCAGAAAAAAGCTCACATCATTGCTTACACATCAGTTCTTGAAAAAAATGAGGGAAAATTTAAAAAAAAATAAAAATAAAAACACAATTTCAAAATAAAATAAAAATATGTGCACACATTGATTTTAAAAAATAAACTGAGCAGAAACTTTGTTTTGTGTCTTGTCTTTTTCCATATTGGATATATTCAAAAAATGTACAATGTGAAGACATTTCCCGTTTTGCATTTTCATAACAAAAACATCAACATTGGATTTCTAAATGCTAAAATGTACAGACTACATAGAACTACATAATTTTCACAAATTTGAAAAACTTAAAATTTCTTGATATTTAAAATATAATTACATTTGTATTGCTATAAAAACTTTAAAGTTGAAATAAAAATTATTTTCCAGATAGTTGTGAAGACAAATCAAAATTATTTATCAAGTACAGATATGAAAATGTTAATCATAAACAGCAAATGAAATATTTTAAAATTCCAATACATGGTGTAGTAAAATAATGAAATGAAGAAAGCAAAGTTACACTCCTGTTTTCAAATCTATAAGAATACATTACTGTAGTTTTACTGTTAAATATACTTTTTAAACATTTTCAATTGTAAATATTTTAAAATAAAAATATTATGTTTTTCCAGATTAATTAAATCTGCATGCGGTACAAATAAAAATATTGGTATCTACCTTTCATAACTGACCCACTAGATGTTCCAGGACTGCAAGGATTAATGGTGATTCCTACGCTTGCTGATGCCTTAATCCCCTCCACTTCCAAGCTTTTACTGGTGCTCATAAGAAGTCCTTCAGCAGATGGAATCTGAACAGTGGTGGATGTTGATGGCAGTGGTTGTTCAACAGGAGATGATCTTGATGAGCTGCTTGGTGCTATACGTGGTAAAGGGCTGTTCCTTGGTGCTGGACTAATGGTCGGAACCTCAACATCTGGCTTAGACGTACATAATTCGATGATTGACATATCAGACCCTTTCCTTGATGTCCTGCTTGATGGCCGTGATGCTGATGGGCTGATTGATGGAAGCACTTGCTGAGAAGATCTAGGACTTGCTAGTGGTGATTTGATAGGTTGGTGTGGATTGACACTCACACTAATTTTGGCCATGAGTTTGTCATTGGCCGGAGGAGTGAGTGGTCTTTCAGAGTAATCAATAACTGATTTTATGCGAGCAGACCTAATCACCCTTGGGATTGCAACTGACTGTTGTGACTTCTTTGGGCTTGATGGCGGACTTGGTTGAATTGATGGCAGAACTGTTGAAGATCCTCTGAGTGAGCCAATCAATTGAATAGATGCATTTGGAGTGAGCATGTTAGGGCTTGTCGATGACCTGGATGAAGGTCTTGGGCTTGATGGTGGACTAGGTTTGATTGGTGGCAGAACTGCTGCTGAGCTTTTGAATGAGCCAATTGATTGAATAGATTTTCTTGGGCTGAGTAAGGTAGGTGACTGTGATGGAGTCAGCACAGCTGGACTGCAACGTCTGCTACTACTACTTGACTTAGCACTAGCTGTTCTGCTGCTTTTTGATCTAGCTACCTCTACTTTGCTATCCTGGCTTATCTTAGGACTAGCTGGACGGCTAGTTTTACCATTGTCCACTTGGCTGGCCTTGGCACTAGCTGGACGGCTAGTTGTACCATTGTCTACCTGGCTAGTCTTGGCACTAGCTGGATGGCTACTTTTACCATTGTCCACTTGGCTGGCCTTGGCACTAGCTGGACGACTAGTTTTACCATTGTCTACCTGGCTGGCCTTGGCACTGGCTGGACGGCTAGTTTTACCGTTGTCTACCTGACTGGTCTTAGCACTGGTTTCACTGCTGCTCACAACTCCTGAAATTTCAGTTGGAGTACCTGGTGGACTAATACTACCAACATCAATGGTCAATGAATGAAGTCTCTTCAAAGAAGCCTTTGGAGACTGGATTTTCTGAGTATGAGAACCAGATGATGATGCACTTCGGCTATTAGGTGGGGTTGGCTGCTTGCTAGTGGATGAAGTACCACTTGCCCTTGCTGATGGCACTTTGGAGTCTCCAAAGTTCATCAAACTTGCAGGTTTGGAAGACAGAATCTCAGCTATCGCGCAAGCTTCTTCAATCTTTTCCATTCGCAAGGTACTGTCAGTTTTCCTTGATCGAACACTAGTTCTACTATTGACAATACGAGTTGGAGGAGGAGGAATCACCTCAACCGCAGGCCGCTCAGGATGAGGGTTTATCACGGTTGCAACCCTGTTCTCATCCATCATCAGAATGTTGCCACTCAAACGGCGTGCTATCACAGCATCACCTTTATCAGTGATGCCAATAGGTGGGGAAGTTGGTATACCAATATTATTGGCTGCATCATGAGCAGAGGACCTACTGCCTAAACTCAAACCACCTGTACCGTTAACATTGGAGCGGTTTGATGGTGTACCTCTTACAGTATGCCGGGACCGACTCTCACTAACAACAGTACTACGGCTGACCTTACTCTCAGCAGCAAGTGGAACAGTGTTCTCACTCGCCTTCTTAGTCACACCAACATCATTATGAGTACTATTTGAAGGACTTACTTCAAGATCTTCAAGCTTGGCTTCGTCCATCATAACAGCAATTGGGAAGATTCTTCCATCTGTGAATGTAAAAAAAAAAACATTAGATTGTAACCATGACAAAAGACAATACTCTCAATACTATTTTTGCTTGTCATTTCTTTTGTCATTTCCATTAAAAGAGAATTTATCAAAAACAAATCCATTGGAATTTTTCCTGATCTATAGAATTCATGACAAAATATGAGTTGACCATTTTATAAACTGTAATTTTTTAGGATTTATTATTTTTTGTAATTACTCTCTGCAGACTTGTTTGAAATTTCACACTTTTATTGCTACCAAGTTTTTAATGGTTAGAACCTTATTTACATGTGTCAACTCAAACTTTTTTTTTAATCAGCAAAAATTATTTCCAGCTCAGTAAAATAAGCTCAAGAAAAGATAAGAATAAGGTAAAATTTGTACAACACAAAACAAAAAACAATTCCTTATTCAAAACTCAAATCAACTGGTGATGAACAAACTAAACATTTAAACTTATCACAAAAATACAGAGAACACAGCAAATAAAACAAAATTAATATTTAAATATTGTTGAAATAAAAAATAACTCTTTGTTACCATTAACTTTTTTTTTGCAGAAGTTTCTTTTTGAGAGTGGTAGCATGGATAAAGTGTTTAAATGAAAAATGTTGACGTTACATTAACATTAATTTATATGAATTCTATTTATGGAAAACAAACAAGCAAAAAACAGAACAAAAATTTAACAAACACAATCACTTACCTGTAATATACATAAAAAATAATTTATAATTATAACGATTTCTGCAAACATTCAGAAAGTAATAATTGGCGATAATTTGTTTTTATATGTAGTCTGTACAGCCACATTTAATTTTTGTTCAATAAAATATCATTCATCAGCCAAATCAGTGTGAAAAATTCAATCAATTTTAATTTAATAAAAAGTAGACAAAACACATTTAATAATCGCCACACATAGCAGCATAAACAATACATATTTACTATCCTACAACACAAATATGATATATATTTTCATAAGCTTTTAAAATTGTTGAAGTATCAGAACATTTTTTTTTTCATTTATGAACATTTCAACACAATAATAAACATAAATATACAAGATGCATTAATTACCTTTTGCTGTATGTGAACGTTCAGCCTTACGACTACTAGAATTCGGGTCACCAAACGCATCTTTCACATCGCCCTGCAAACAAATTTGTAATATTTGTTTTAAACAACTATAAAAAATTAAATATATAATATAATAACATTTGTACATTTATACAATGATAACATTTCATTTGTTTTGCAGGAGAGTAACGATAATCACACAAACAATTAATTTGAAAAAAAAATATAAAGTACCTGTGCGATAGAGTCTCGGTGACGTTTGTCCAAACTTTGACGTCTTTTCACAGCAATGGAAAGACGCTTGTTTGCGTCCACCTTCAGAGTAACGTCTGAAGAAAATATTAAAACACTTTTATTTCTGATCATGTAGCTCAGTATGACAATGAAGCAAAAAAATAATTAGATAAAGCTCAAACAACCAAAATATTAAAGCATGGGCGAGTCGGAAGTCTAATTTCGCCGCGGCCTTTTTTTTCGTTCGGACAACATTTTAATATTGGCAGTCAGCGGTAAGCAAAAATCGAAGTTTAAAGCTGGGACTAAGGAAAATTTTTTTTTTTTTTTTTTTTTTTTGGTGAAAATATAGTTTTTGTTTTATTATTGACCTTTAAAATATTTGTATCGTAACATCGTAGTGAACAATCAAAACAATGTAAAGCAAGATGGCCGCTGTTGCCACGCAACTGTTTGTTGAAACAGTACAATGTTGACAACGACATCGTTGCCATGGAACATAAACAAAGACAGCAGATTTCATTTTTATTTTTTTTCTGTGAATGTATTTTCAAAATTAAAATGTACCAAAACGAAATGACAAAAAATCATGCTTTACACGTTTAGTTTAAATCAACAACGTGTGTTCAAAGTTTTGAAACAATCGCCGCTAAAAAGAAATTTGTTTTCTTAATAATTTGTCATATAATTTATTTTTGTCTTCAAATCTCACGCAAAAACATGGGGGACAATATATATTTTTTTCGTTAAATGAGAACTCGTGAAATATAAACAAAGTAAAGTCTACCATCTGACAACCGGAGATGTTTTGAAAAAGTGTGAACATACACACTGAATATGAAAACAGATACACAACAAATTTCGTACTTTCACAAAACAATGTTTTTATAGCCAGCAAATTAGTTTTGTGAACAAAACATACATTCAATGTACGAATAAATCATAGCTAAAGCAAAAAAAAAAAAATTTCAACATATAAAAAAAAAGAAAACAGACTCAATATTCATAAAGTATAAAAATTGCCCTAAAATAAACAGCCCGCCAAGTTCACACATGTTTGCCCGCCCAAGATATTCTCCAGAAATATCGAAGATGAAAAGAAAATAATTGTTAGAGACATACCTGGCGATGACTTGGATGCTCCACACCCCATGTTCAGAGATTACAGTTAGCAAAAACGGAGAATACTTGGGTATAATACCGGAGTAGATCTGGGATGATGCTTCCTGAAAAGCGATTCGGACCAGAGTGAACGATTGTACGCCGTATACGCGTTCTGATACTGAACGCAATATTGTGACGTCATTAATCGCGCAAAGTCTTATGGCCAGACGCGCGGATGCTTCGCGGATGGTTACTATGGGCACCAAGCATGGGCCATTTTTGACAGTAATTTTAGCATTCGTTGAAATATTATTATCATTTGCCAACAATTTGACAATGTGAAAATGTCCAATTTGTTTATTTTTGGAACTTATACAACTGATCATTCACGCATTTTAGCACACCGTGTGCGTATCTGAATCAACGATGAACGTGACGTCACGCGGCTCTCGGAGCAATGGTAAACGAAGTAATATTACTATAGTCAATAGTCAATAGAGGGCGATGTGCGTGTTAGTCTTCGCTGGTTCCCTTGCTTCCTACGCGAAACTTGGGGCGGTAACCATCCAACGTGTTATTTACAGTCAAGTTTGTTTGAAAAGTAAAATATAACAAAAGAAAAAAAATATTGTGTAAACATTGTTGTTTTCAGCAATAGTTTCTGGTCACTAATAATTACTAGTATTGTGCGTTCGATTCGGGAAATAATAAACAAATTGGTTAAACTCGTGGGAAGTACATTAATGTCGATGACGCAAATATAATTATTACGTATTTAATACATTCTGATAGTTTTATGACTATAAATTGTGTATCCTTGAATACAACGAAACGATATCATGGATACATGATAGAGTTGAGTTCATCAATTGTTATTTTGGTGGGAAAGTTGATATTAATATTTTATTTTAGTTAATATTTTTCATGAAAATGATAAATATACAATTTCCATGGAAACGAGTACATGACTCATGCTTCAGAAATGAAAGAATTAACACGCAAATCGTTGGAAAGTTATTGCCAAAAATACTAGTAGTCCGGGGTTACGATTTTATAAAATTGTGGACGGTTAATGTTAAAAATGAACTAGCATTATATCAAAATTATATCTCGTAAGTCATCGTGCTAGTAATTGGATAGTTATTTCGCTCTTTTCTGGCAGAAGTTCGAACCTTATTTGTTTGGTGGGGTTACAGTGTTCACCAGCCAGTTCAAATAAAAAAAAACTGAATCGCTAGAGATCGGATTTGGGCGCTTAAAAATGTCCCAAAAATTCCGTTTTCGTCTTAAAATGACCCACTTTTTTGTTAAAACTGCTGTATATGCTCACAAAATGGGGTTCGAAAATATCTGCCGAGCAAATAACCGCGGTGCATACCGGGTGAGGTAAATCTTTGACTGATTTTGTATCGAAATTAAGGGTGGTTGCCATTACTTCAAATATTTAAAACTTCACTTGGTTTTGCCTTTATGTGACAAAAGTGAAGTCCGACACCTTCCCTGTACTATGTACTGCATTGCTTTCAGACACAGGTTTCCGGAGAATTTCCTGCAATATAATATGATGAACATGTGATAACATGAATATCACAACTAGTATAACAGTCCACCCCGGTATAACGGGCAATGTAACATTTTGTCTGCCCACGCCTGTAAATAAAGATGTCGCATTTCTGGCGCACCCATAATGCTACCATATCTCTGGATGCATCGCCAATATTGAATGAATGAAGTGTGATGGAATTTATTCAACGAAAAGAGAGTATAGGGAAGACCAGAACGTACAAAGCACGAGAGTGAATGGCATGGGCGACTCTACAATTTGCGAACGCCCTCGCACGACGACTGTTATAATTTCCAAACGCCCTCACATGACCGCATAGTTATACATAACAGCTAAATCAAAGGTCACAGCAAACTCCGGGTTACGAGTGATTTGAGAGTATATAATGTGGTCTACGTAGCCTCCGTACTCAGCTAGCATACCACCACGGCTTTCCAGCTACCAGAGAAGCTCTAGAGCTGGCCATTGGCTCACTGGAAACACTATTAACGCACCCCAGTCAAGAAAAGTACCCATTGCATGATTTTATCGTACACGTGGGATGAATATGTTGACATTAAACTGAGTTTGTGTGAGTGTTTTATTAAAGGGCGGTGGTCGTCGCGTCACGCATGTGTGAACTATATATGCGTCTTAATACCAAGCTTTAATTGTAAGTATTTTTAGGTGATAGGAAGAAATCGAAGCTGTACTTAATCCAACTCGTGCCCAGGCCTCATACTTATAATTTTCATTATTTCGTTTCCATTTATCAACACAAATGTTGCGGCACAAGCACAGCGCGATGACTACCGCTACTACTAAATTGCTTGCAACTGTTTGATACTCTAGGAACTTTGCCTGGAGTTGATAATCCCACATGCACAGAACCACCTTTACCATATTATAGAACAATCTGATTAAACTGATGTAGGTATACAATTTAGACTTATACATGTTGTATACGGCGATAGAGATACTATATATAAAAAATAAAACATAAAAACGGCAACTGAAAGCAATAAAAAAATATGAAAATAAAATAAAAATTGGAGCATATACAGATTTGAATCATATTCATGATGATAGAAAAATAAGTTATGTATAACTCGCGTCTAATCAACGCATGGACACCCGATCATAGTTAGCCAGAGTGTATAGAGAAACGTTTTTTACAGAATCCATAATACCTTTCCCAACTCTAACTACAACTCGAAAGACAAATGTACAACAAATTCCATCGCAAGAAGTCCATCATTTTTTTTTTGAAAAGTCGTCTATTTGTATACAAATAAACGAACAATTCCGTTTTGTGTTAACATCGGTTTACTTTTATAAAAAAAAAGAGAATCATGATATTGAACAGTTTTCTTATTGTAGTTTCATGTTCTACCGAGCCAATCAATGATGTCACTCAATTTTTTCTCCAAAGAATATGAGTAGACTTCTCCGGGTAATTCAAGTTATAAAACCATTGTCTCGCAAGTCTCACCATTCACCCACTACTTATAAATGAGAACTTTATATTTCTTTTTTCATTTTGATTTGTACGTCTTGCCCTTTGCCCGTCTCTTTTTTTTCCAAATGGGTACCTGATGGCAACTGCCTCGTATTAAAATTCAATGTCATCCCAAGTTTCGGCTAAACAGGCATGATATAACTTGTATTATCACAACATTCGTACATAATATTTAGACTAACTCCGACACCCAGAGACTAACGCTCCATAAGCTTGGCACGTTTTTATGTTCGTATACTGTAATGTATATACATGTAGATGTACATTCAAAACTGTGTCACCGTAGATGGCGCAAATATTGACCAGTCATGAGTAAAGGGGCACCAACAAACTAACCCTGCACATGTGTGAAATAAAGTTGTTGGCTTCTTCAGTGATCTCATAACGAAAAGCAACATGGTTCAAGGCCCTAAGGAGGGTTACTTTCCTAATCTGCCGAAGCAACGAAAGCATGGCAAGATGTTCCGTAATATGTCAAGAAATCCGCAGGCTCGGCTGCGAATTCTGCAAGGTATGGTGACTGCCTTGGTAAGACACGAACGGATAGAGACAACGTACGCCAAGGGACATGAAACACAGAAATATGCTGAAAAGGTAAGATTATTTATTTAGTTTGTCTACTTTTTTTTATTTTCATAATTCTATATATTCCACCCACCTTAGAGAAACACCCCTGTCAACTCTACACTGGCGCATTATGTTGGAAACGGAGGTTACAAGCTAGTCTTCACCAATG